CCCCAAAACCCCAAAACCCCAAAACCCCAAAACCCCAAAACCCCATAATCAATTGCATTATTGAATAATAAAATATTTGCTAGGAGTATGAATGTAAGCTAGTAATTAAAACACCCAAAATAGGTTCTTAAAATGGTCCTCAAGAAGGACATTAAGCAACGAAACAAAAAGGACTTGGAAAAAATGGTAGTGGAGCTAAAGCAAATCAAATTTTTCCAAGAGCGACAGATCCCTGATAAAAGTTATATTGATATTGCTCAATCACTGACTTATCTGAAGTTACCAAAAGGGGCTATAGTCTTTGAATATGGAACTCTAGGTGACCTGTTCTATATTATTCTTAAGGGCACTGTGAGTGTGCATGTTCCTAATAAAAAGAAGATTGAAATGATGGAAAAAGAGAAATTTGGAAATATTATCCCAACAACAGCGAGCAAGCTCCATCCAAATAATAAAAACGATGAAAATGCAGACCGTGTCGGAGAATTGCCAATTTCAAAGAGAGCATCTCGAATTCCAGGAAGAAGGCGATCCACTCTGATGAGAGGGTTTGTCAGCACTCTTGGTAACAATGCTATTAGGGAGCTACTAGATGACCCTATCTTCGATGAAGTATGAAAATTTAAGGCAGGCAAAAGTTTCGGAGAGCTCGCCTTAAGAACAACTAAACCTAGAGCAGCCAGAATTGTGTGTGATACAGACTGAGAATTTGCTTGAATGCGAAAAGATGATTATTCTAAGGTCCTTCAAAAAATTGAAGAACGCTTGGTGAATGATATGATAGTCTACTTCCAAAGCATACCATTATTCTCGAATTGGTCGAAATAATTTGCTCACTAAGCTAATGTTCCAAGTTGAGAAATAAGTCATTTATAAAGAACCAAAAGGTTATTAAAGAAGGAGATCCTATAAAAGAGATATACATTATTAAAAAGGGTGAATTTGAGGTATACTCTAAATTCAAACAGAAGAAGGAAGATCATCTTCATATCAGTAATAAGCTACTTGGTAAGTAAACACTACATCCTGAGTCTTACCTTCTTGTATCATCCAAGATGTTGCTATTCCTATTTTTGAGTGAACATTTTATTTTCTTCAAAACTGTAGAATATGAATTATTGACGAAAGACCTTACTAATCTGATAAATCCTCATAGCACATTCTAATAGCTTATCATTTAGTGTATTGGCCACTTAGAATATTATTAATTGGCTATATAAGATATGAATGGCCTAGTCTAGAGGAACAACTCTGATATAATTTTCAACAATTTAAGTAAAAGAGCTCGATCAGGAAGAGGAAATGTAATTCCCTCAGAAAATTCAATTTTAATGAGGAAGTCATATTCGATTATGTGGATTAGTTAACATTCATGAAAGGAGGGTTTGTATTGGAAGACATGCAAGGAATACCTATATTTGTTTGATAATGAAATTCTATAATAATATAAATCTGCTATAGGGAAAAATTACTTAGAAAAATTCCTTAAACCAAAAAGGTCTTACTTGTCCTTACTCGGAGTTGGCCAGCTCATTTGTGATAACGATCTACTGGAAGGCTGCAAGAAAGTTATGGAAAAGCAAAGAAATGAAGCCTTAAGCAAGGAACCTAATGATACTGGTGCAACAACTATCAATAATAAACCTATGTCAAAACCAATGTTCACTTTTGCAAATTTGGATGCAAAATCAAGTGTTACAGTGACCTGAAATTCCTTAAAAGGTCATTTGTTATGAATAAAAGCAGGCCAGTTTCTAAAGGCTATGAAGAAGGATATAACCACTTGGAAAAGCTTCGAGACTCATTGAACTAGAAAACAAGGGGAAAACAATGCTCGGGTCACTCAGATTCATCACATATTGGAAAACAAGTTTGAAGATGAATCAAATGAAAGTTGATTTTCACCTAGTGGGGCACAGCACAAAGCATGTTTCTCAACCTCGGTCCGTTTTCGGCGGAATAAATTTCAAAATAAGCTAGAGATAATGGGAGAAATCAATTCAGAAAAATAACATCCCTGAGATGAAGGATAACTTCAAAAGAATAGAGTACAAGAAGATTTTTGAAATGGATGAAGAAAAGGAGGAAAAGCCTCAGAAAGAAGTTGAGTGAAGTATCATATTCAGCGATAATGCTGGCAACCTAAGAATTTCAAGACCTTCTAAACAATTATCTACCACAGTAAACATGCTAGATTCAAGGGATTTCTCAAGAAGGCGTAATACTAAGTATAATATCATGGGGGAAGCCCTTCAAAGTGATGGGCAAAATACAGATATGTCAGAATCTCTTGACTTTGATTCTGATTCAGCAGATGATGACCACCATTCTAATGAAATTGGAGCCCGCAATATGCCTTTTCTCAAATCTATTTGTAAATAAAATATGGAAGAAGCCTAAAAACGAGAACTATAATAAAATGAGCCAGGTTTCGACATACTTGTCTTCAAACCATGATAGTACCAGGATGAGTTATTCCACAAGGAGGAAAAGTAGAAGAGGGAAGGTTAAGGATTCTCTAAGTGTGAGTGGGACAAAATCATTTACAAAGAAACTCTCCTCCTCTCGAAAGACTATCTATCTTGATGATAAAAACAACATAGTCAACCCAGTCACCAAATCAATCATCCAAGGTCAAAGCATGCAAAAGAAGAGGAATATTCAGAAAATCGTCTTTGAACCAAGCTCTTCAGAAGGAATCTGGGATAACTATAGTAGCACACATGGAGATAATGAGAGTATTTTTGATAACTCAGTGAACTCCCCTGGTATCATAAAGAATTTAAAGTACCCTAACATCATCCCTGAATCTGGAACTTTAGACTTCAACCCGGGTCGAAACAAATTTAAAGGGCGGTTTAAGAGTGTCTCTCCCATTAGAGAGTAAGTCGGAATTCTTGCAATACATTTTTGTATATTTTGTTGGGAAAATGAAAATTTCTAAAAGTTTTACAATCCTAATAATATCTCTAATATAGAAACCCGACAAAGACAAGTTATGGTATGAGACAGTATAAGAGAAATCTTATTAGCAACAACGGTAGGTTCTTTAACCAGCGCAGGAGGCGGATAAAAATAAGCAAAGTAAAGATGAAAAACAAAATATCCAAGTTGATGGAGACTTTCCAGAGTATTCCAATTAAAATACAGCATCGGAAGCTTCGTCAACCTGCTCCTAAAGAGAGCAGAAAGAAGATCAATCTGAACATAATTAACTAATTTTATTTTATTAAGGCCAACAATTTTCAAACCAAAATTATTCTCTCGGGGTTTTGGGGTTTTGGGGTTTTGGGGTTTTGGGGTTTTGGGG